CCCCCCCCCCATATAATGTATATTTTTTTTCCCATCCTGATTAAAAACGAATTGAAGAATGGAATAGTGCATAATTGCAGAACTCGTTATATTGTTCTACTCAAACTGTTAAATGTACTTTAATTGTCAATCTCTTGAAGTTACTACAGTTTTTTTGTCTTTCTGCTCAGTCGTTTTGTCAGATCATTTGTAAAATTGTTAATTTTATGCCTCTTTTTTGGAAGTAAAGATTATGAAAAATATTGATTGTAATATTTCAATGTTTTAATAAGAAAATAGCAGTCACATGTCATTTTCATCAGACAAGTGGTCATCTGCTTATTTTATTCGTTACGTTAAAGTCAGTGCTTTTTAATTTAAATAGGAGGATAATTATGATAAAGCATAAGTTGGGAACATCTGATTCAATGGAACGGGAAAAGAGGCGAGGGCTATAAAAGACGATAATTGCCTGAATAATTTGTGGGGAAGCATATTGAATGTAAAGCATTTCGTAAGTAGCACATGGAGACCAATTGTACCATATTTTTCTCTGAAAATTTTTTTAATATTTATAGAATTTTTCCAATCACAATAATTAGCCATATAATGCGTCAAACTTTCGAAGTTATAACAGCACAATTGAGGTGGTGATCAACTGTCACTTAATGGGATACATTTGCTGTGAACCACACAATGGCGTGGAGAATTAGGAGTTTATCACATAATGAGACTGGGAGTTGAAGTAGATCTCTTACCTAGGGAGGTAAAGTGAAGGAGGTTCGCCCACGTGCAAAATTACCGCCAGAGCCGAAGATAGGGTATTAAACACGTGGGTAAGGTGCCTTTATTTTACCTTTCGTGGTGAAAACATCAGTTTTCTCCTCGACGTAGGAGCTAAATCAGGATTCCCTTCCGCGCAATGGAAGTGTGTATCTTGCTCCAGCCGGGAAGAAAAATAATTTTGTTAGAATTGGATTTTGTAGCTATCTAATTTTGATTGGCAAATATCATTGATGAATGACTGTTATTTATGTATTTACAATAATTTTGAGTGTTAATTGATCATTCATCGTTTTCTGATGATTCAAGAGGTGGATTAATAACCTGTGGTGGAGACGGTGACGTTCGATCATGGCTGGATCTGATGGATGATGACCCCTCGGATAGTTGTATTGCAGAACAAGCCACGTGTTGCATCTCCAAGTCCGAGAAAATCTACGTAGGAAACGATAACAACACAGTACAGATTCTTACGTACCCAGACCTTGAGAAATCTGGAATAGTGACGCGCTTCTCCTCGACAGTCTCCTGCCTTGCCGCAACCCAAACCAGTAATCTTCTCATCTCTGGTAGCTGCGATATGCGTATTCACGTAACGAACCTCGACACTTCTACTACAACAGAGTTGCAAGGTCATGAAGCTCCAATCTTGGCCGTATCCCTAGATCCGAAGGAGGAATTTGTGGCGTCCTCCTCTGGAGATGGTACCCTCCGCGTTTGGAGTATCAAGGATAAGAAGTCAATCCAGATTTGGAACGTAGTTCCAAAATGCAATTCTTTCTTCACAGCAAAAATTCACTCAGTCCCTTCATTCGAACCAACGGCAGGTAAATACTTGGCCTACCCCTACGGTCTTGAGGTAATCGTCACAGAAAGAGGTACCTGGAAGGAATTATTTAGATTGACATCCCCTAACCTTAAGCGAGACATCAACATCTGCAAATTTTCGGAATGTGGAACACGATTGGCAGCTTCATCGGTGATAGGCGAAGTTATTGTCTGGAACGTGGCGACTCGAAAAGAAATCGGTGCTGTTGAACATCATCAAAAATCAAAAATAACCTGCTTAGTCTGGCACTTGAAAACTCCAACCGAGCTAACCTTTTGTGATAGCTTGGGTCAATTGGGTTCCATTGATGTTCCTCTGATCGAGGAAGCTGTTAGCAATTCCTCTGAACTGGCCACAAATGGTCAGGATATGTATGAGTCGGGACACCTAAACTGCAAAGAAGACGATGATGATGAGAATGTTATTTCTCTAAGTAAACTGAAGGCATCGATCCTCGAGGATGACGCGAAGAGTCATTCAGATGTCACGTCAGTTCATGAAGATAAACAAGTGTTATCAGATGTACACCTCCAAGAGCCCTTTCAGCCAGGATCAACTCCAGTCCACCTTCTCTCTCGATTTATGATGTGGAATGATGTAGGGATAGTCAAATGCTACAAAAGCGAAGATGACGAGGACTCCAGCATCGAAGTTGAGTTTCATGATACTTCTGTCCACCATAGCATGCACATGAATAACTATCTTCGTCACACAATGGCAGCATTGTCCACAGAAGCCTTAGCTCTGAGTTGTCCATCAAACGATGAGGAGGGGAGTAAACTTCTAGTGATAATGCTACAGGTCTGGGACACAGGTAACAAAGAATGGAACATTGACCTTCCTGCAAACGAAGAATCAAGGGCTGTGGCTGCTGGCAGTAACTTCGTTGCTCTTGCGACATCCAAGAGATATTTGAGGTTTTTTATGATAACGGGGGTTCAGAGAGAGGTGGTAGCTATCCCTGGGTCTATCGTAGCCATGAACGCTTTGGCGAACCATCTGGTGGTAGCCTACCACAGTGGAGTCGGCATTTCTAATGATCAGCAAATGAGCATAATGTTGTTCCAGGTTCGTAGGGGTGATATCAAATGCCAGACGATTCCTCTGGCTCTTTCTCCGCAGACAGAACTCATGTGGCTGGGCATGACTGATCATTTATCACCAGCTTCAATGGATGCTGATGGGGTCCTCAGGATTTACAGCACAAAGTCCAATCTCTGGAGGGTGGCGGCCGACACTGGAAATCAGATCAAGGGCAAGATAGATCACTATTTTATTATTGGGATTAGCGAGAAGGAGAAGTCCATTCGGTGTGTCTTATGTAAAGGGAGTCACTACCCTGCTACCACACCCAGACCAACCGTTATAGAAATACCTTTTGATCCGCCACTGTGTGAGATAGACGTGGATAGAACAAAAAAAGAAGCGGCTATTTGGCAGATTGGAAGCAGTCCCGAGGATGAGGATACAGCTCTGTTCACGCTCATTGGATACTTTTGCAGTCATAAACTCGAGCATTGTGTTGTTGATCTCTGTCAGAATGTCGCTAAACAAAGCTTAATTGAGTTGGCTATTAAGTATGCCATGAAGACAGATCGGATTGCATTGGCAAAGAAATTGCAAGCCATTGCTGAAGCCAGGGTTGGAGCGTGGCCGGGTGTAAAGGAGAATGAGGATGTCGTCTCCCAGGATATGTTTCAAGGGATAGAAGAGGAGGAGGACGAGAAGCAAGCGATGGAGGAGGAGATACTCTTGACACCGATTGGAAGTAGAAAACCGGAAACGATAGAAATTAAACCGTTGAGTCTTAGTTTCAAGAGAGGGAATCCATTCTTGAAAAAACAGTCGACGGTTTCATCTAATGGTATTTATTTGCACGTCAAGTAAATTTTTTTTTCTATAAATATAGAGGTTCGAACCTTTTTACTGTAAATGTACATATCCAAGTATCTGTAGTTGTATTAGTTTTTTTCGCATTTTTTCACATGCCATACCTACTGAAAATTTTCACCATATTAGTTTATTAAGTTAGGCAAGAAAAAATAGCAAAGTTTTATAAATTTTCAGTAGCATTTTCATTTCATTTTGTAAAGATTCATTAAAGAAATGGTTATCTCTTCAAAAAATTGGGGTGGAAATAGGATGAAAAATAGTCTTCAAAAATTGTACTTTTCGAATTACTTTATAAATTATTTTCTATGCAATTAAAAAAAAATATCTTCACTGTCTAAATAATATTAGTTTTTCAAGATGCACAGGAATGCGAGGTCTAGAGTCTTCATTTCAGTCTATCTTTATTTTTCTGATTGATCAATAATGCGAAATTAGGATATGATATATCTAATTCAAATAATTTGTGACGACGTCGGTCATTAATTGTAGGAGTGAGTACCGGAAAGTGAAGCAGCTGGACAAGATAGAATAGGTTTTTTTTAGCTGAATGAAACGTTTGAATGAGTAATTAATTGTACTCTATTGTTCCACATTGCGCCATTCTCCGCCACATTAAAATTAAAATAGTTTATTAGAGTAAGATGTTAGAGACTATGGTGCTATATTCCGCTTTCTAAATATTTTATTTGTTCTGAAATCATATTGGATTTTTCAGCACTTGATGGAATGAATATGCTCTCGGCCAAGTCGCCGAAAAAAACTCCAACAATAACCGTTTTAAAACCAAAGTCAAATCCAAAATTACTGACTGAAAAAAAAAACACTTTCGTTTCCTGGTTCGAAAAGAAGAAACAAGAGCTGCAAGAAGAATTCCCGCACCTGAGTCCACGTGACCTAACAAAGATTGGATTGGAGAGGTATAAGTCAGAGTCTGATTTCCAAGACTTTGAAACGAAGAAAAGAAAATTGTCAGGCTCGGAGTCACCAAACAGTGAGGCAAAGAGACCTGCAAGTAAATTGATAGATTTTGCCTTCAGGAAAGATTAAACGGCAAGAAATACTTGATTCATGTTTTGGTTTCTCAAGAAAATTTTTTAATGTTTGAGCTTTCGGTATATTTTCTGATTATGTAATTATCTAGTACGAAATGAATTTTTCCAAAAAAGTCTTATTTATTCTGAAAAACTGATTGAAATCAAATTCCTGGTTTTCCAATGACAATCGATCATTTTTATAATAACACAAGTTACTAGAAAAACTCAATTAAATATAGATGTTGGTACAAGAAACGTTTCTCACCTATATGTTCTACGTCTACACTTCGTCCTACACTCGTCAAATAATCGAAATTATTCATTACCGTTGAAGTATTCCCCAGGTGTTTGCAATTTAACATTATTTTCCAACTTGAAAATTCATTCAGCATTCAAAAATTTTTAGCTGAAGACCTACAGACATTGGGCGTCATTGCTAGTTCAGCAGTTAACTTCATTAAACTTCGATTTAATTAATAGCTGTTATGATTCTCTCAGTCAGAATAATGGACTGATGCCTTTCAAATCACAAAAAATAGAAGGGTGAATGACCCTCCGAACAAAATATCTGTTCATAGTTGTTTTCCAGTGGCATTAAATCTTGAAAACTACTACCGACATCCGTATGGTCCGTTTACAAATTGAAATTTGCAGAGTCATTGAGGGTCCTAAAAAAAATTTTTAAAACTTTCCCCGAAAATTCCAAATTTTCTCTAATTTTACAACATACACAGAAATATCATATGTAGGAATCGGTCACAACCGGCCACTTCTCAAATACATTCATTACGTGCATACGTGCAAGTTTTTTATTTTACTGTAACTGAATAATTTTTTTTTTCCCACATGACAATTGGCGTATGTATAAAATAATTTGCTCAAGATAGAGTGAACTGAAAATTCATTCAAATTTATTCAAACAGCTACGACTATTTTTTCAAATAAAATTATCATCAAATGGGTGAAAGAAGAGTACATTTTTGAAAATGTATCCTATTACTTAAATTATATGGCGTCAAATTATTATAATTCTTTTACTGGACAGAGATTTTAGAAGATAGTTTTAACGTATTTTTTTGTGACGGTTGTCCTTCTGGAAAAATCGAAAAGATTAATTTTTCAGCGATACTTTCTACAATGGTGAAATTCCTTCAATTAATCATTCTCCGCCAAATCGATCAATGGACATCTTGAATGCATGAGATGTTCCAATTGATACCATCCTCATCTCAAATTCCTTAATTCCCGGTGTACATTAAATATGTACTGAGAGCTCCAGAATAAATCGATTAAATAACCATATAAATTCGTTCTCCGGAATCTTCTCCGTATCAACTTCGTCTCTAAACTGGCCAATCGGGGAAGTGAATCAAAGTAAACAAGATATACGAGTTAGTAATTACATGAGACCTATGGCTTTTTTTACCGCAAATATATCTCATGTTTATCTGAGATATATACAGAATCGCTATGTGTAATATATATGGGCCACTCTCCCCATTATTATTGAAAGTTTTGGTGAATATATTGTTTAGGTCCACCAAAAACAAAAATCATTGGAAATGTTAATTTCTCTGATGAAAAATCCATTCTTATCCTCTCAGTTCTCATCAACAAGCCGAAAGAAGAGAGTGTGAAGCAACAAGGAGATAAATACATCGAAAAATAATCCTGAGGTAAGCTGTTGTCCCTGAAATTCCTTAAACCCCTGTTTCCCCTGCTATCGCTGTTGACGTGACGAGTGAGTGATATTAAATTCAATATTTTGAATTGCTACAAAAGGGTAGCGACGGATAAACCACTCGTTGTGTTCAGTCAGCGATGGTAGATGGTCGGGAGAGGTGAATTCAGAGTTTTAGTGAAGCTCAGGACTATTTGATGAAATATATCTTTCTGTGTGTCCATTGTCTAAAACATGCCAACATTTAGTGTCTTTGGGGCCGATACATCGCCAGGTCCTCACCACCTTGGATAACGCAGTGAGCGGTGTAGTAGATGGGATATCTTCTATATTAATTGTTTCCGGATTAAAAGGTGACCAGATCCTTAATTAGGTGACGGACACCGATCCAATCAAATATAGAACATCCAGAATGGTTTGGTGGACCTGAACTAGACATTTACCAAAATTTCTTCTTTTATATGGAAGAAATGGAAGAAAATGAATGCAGGTGGAGATCTTCATCTTAATTATTGGCAGAGATATATCGAAGGTTTTATTTTCTAACAACGTTTACTTTTTGCATTAAATTAAGAGAGAATGAAAATTCATCTTGATATATAGACTGCAACTATCTGATATACAGCATTTTTTTACGAACTGCAAAAATTCCTACGCATATTACACGCTCTTGTGACGACAGAAAATGATGTAATGCTTTTTCTTAAAGGAAAGGACGGCTTTGGTGTGCGAGGAGAACATTTGAAAATTTTATAGAGATACATGAAACATTTGATTATAAAATAATTTTGAAACAATTCTTTTTGTACGCTGTTTCGCATGTACCCTACACTTTCATATATATTTATGTTATGATATATATATAGAATGTTATTTTTGAAAATTGAATTCTAAAAAATTTCAATATAATAACATTATATATATTATATTCTGTTATAAGTATAGTATATGTTTCATACAATATAATTATATAAATGCATATATTTGCAAAGATAAAAAGTATGACAAGCTAAAGATTATGATTTTGAGGAAATATATGCATATAATGTCTATTTCTCTTATATGTATACCGTGCTGCCGGTTTCTTCTTCCCCTTCCCAATCCATTCATTCCCCATCTCTAGCGCCTACAAAAGAATGCATGGCATTCGCCACCTTAGGACTCATCTTTTCGGTTTTCGTCCACTCGTATCGCAGCTGTCGGAAGTAACGGTTCGTCACGTTTCAAATCATTTGATAATCATATGTTATTTCATTTATAGATCGTCACATCAAGCTTTACTCTTTCTATTTACATAACTTGTATAAAAAAAATAAATTTAACTTGAAATTATTTTTAATGCTTTTCAACGTTCTTTCCAAATTTTTCATTAATTTTAATGTTTATTTACCTATTTGAATAATCATTAAAAGAAATGCATTTGAATACTTGATACCTTTGATAATTGTCGTCTCATGGAAAGGTGTACCGGTAAAAACGGATTCATTGTCGATATTTAACGGAGGCATTGCCAGCGTCTATTTATTTTGATTTTTCGTTAGACAGACGCCTCTCGTCAGCCTGAACGGTTAAGTTCGCTACAATTTGAGATTAATATCAATCTGGAAAAGTAAATAAGTTTGCTGTGGAATACTTGCACGTGGACCATGACAGAGGTGATAAAAAGAGGTGAGTAGAAGATTAATGTTTTTCACTCGAGACTGGATTTGAATTATTTTTGTATGAGATGAGATTTCGTCTAATTTTAAAGCCCCATATGCCCCTCCGTTGCGTCAGCCTACCGGCGATATCTGAGCATGTTGAATTTCATTGAAACTAACAGGCAAAATTAATTTTCTTTTATCGCTATGACTCGGGCTATTATCCGTAAATTTATGCTTTTTCGGGAAAAATACCTTCTTTTTTTTTATATGAAATAAATAAAATACTGAATCAAGTGCAGATAAATTAGTCAATGGGATAGTATCTATAATAGGAATGAAGGGAGTATTAAATTCGCTGATTCAAACATTTTTCCGCCCAACAAGGCATTCAAGTCTCTAACGTAGCTGATTACAGTGATTGTTAGGAAATTTTTATAGACGAGGGAGGGCAAATAGGAGCATCATTTTTTAATAATCACCTAAATTAGAGCAAATTCATTCTCATTTAATGTGGAGGCCGTCAAGGAAAATCACAATCATTCTTGTAAGAAGTCGTTACAACAGTAGAATTGGAATAAAATGGGTGCCCCACTTTCTTCAACTTTGTCTATTTTAATAATAATAACTCATCAATCTATTTTATCTCATTTAAATACCAACTTATTAAGTATTTGTTTCCCTCTGAAACAGTTTTCGAAAAGTATAATGAAAAAAATCAATTTAATTAAAAAATCATCGGAGTATCCATGTGTCACTTTGCATCCAAACCATTTTGAAAAATTCCATTTTTGATAAATAAAAAAATTTTAAAAGGTTTGAACGTATATTTTGCTTCGAACTTTTTTTTTTAAGTCAAATTTCGAGGAAGAAAAATAAATTCGAGAGAGTCTTACCTTATTCTGCTTCACATAATCCAGGTTTATGTTGTTTCACATTCGTCTGTGTCTGTGGATATGCCATTTTGTGAAAATTATCCCCTTGATTTTATTTCGATCAAAGAAGTAAATTATTTGTGATTTTTACCAATAAAATGTAATTCTGCATGCTATTTAAAAATTCGGTTTTTTCTCAAATTTCCTAATTTCACTATTCTGTTAAGCGCGGTGATTCTACGATAAATTTTATTACAATTGAGCTTATATTTATTCATTTTTTGATTTCTGATACCCGACAGCCAAAGGCTAATTACAGAGTCAATACAAAGTAAGCTCAAAACACATAAAGAAAAATAAAACAATAACATTGAAAGTACTCTCATTGGAATTTTTTTTTCATGTTGTAAAAAATTCTATAATACTCTTGAAAAGGCAGAGCATGCACAATATCTTCGAATTCGGAATCCGTAAATTTTTTCTTCAAATCTTTTATCTATTTCGTCGAGATAATTCGTTGAACCAATCAGTGGGAAATCCACCCGATTTGAATTCCTCACGAATCGTCACATTTGATGTTAAAATTGACTTTATAATTCCAGATTATGAACCGTTGGACACCATTCAGGAAGCTATGGGAGTTATGGGCCCTTGGCAGATTATCATCACCGTTGCCTTGTCTTTAGTAAATTTTCCTGTGGCATGGCATCAATTGTCAATTGTTTTCCTGGCACCTCCAGCTAATTTTACCTGTATTAACCCAACACCCGTTGACAACAAAACTGTATACTCAACGGAAGATACCCAATGTTTTGTTAATGTCACTCTTTTGACTAGTTCGAATATCACCGAGCTCGGGTCACCAGTAAAATGTACCCAGTTCGAGTACGACAAGAGTGTTTTTGACAGCACCATCATAACTGAGGTAATTCTATTCATAAATTCTTCTTCGAATACTTTAATTGGTTGACGAAAAACGATAATAATGATAATCAAAGAGTGCTTAAAAAACACAAATTCCATTCATAGTTTCCTAGATATTTTCACAATACCGAATAACAATTTGGAGCTACCTCGATAACGCTTTCGCTAATTATAGAAGATTATCGTAAAATGTTCTTCGCTTTGAGACGATAAAATTCCTCTTTAACATTGATAAAGATATTGTTTTTGTTCGTTTAGTGGGATTTAATATGTGATAGGCAACAATTGGCGAACATCGCCCAATCATGCACTATGTTTGGAATTCTAGTCGGCAACATGGTATTCAGCATGATGGCAGATAGGTACAGTACAAGCTGATGACAATCCACAATCAATACGTAAACTTGAAAATAGATTTTACTTGACACTTCTCCGACTGACATAAACACTGCCAGTTAATCAACACAATTATAGCATTATGTTGTACATCGATTCTGTTTATTAAAGGATTGGTCGTAAAATTCCCCTAATGATTGCTGTGGTCGTTCAATCGGTTACCGGGCTATTGAGCACGTTTTCTCCCTGGTTCGAACTATTCGTGCTTTGCAAATTCGTTGCTGCTATTGCCACAGGAGGAACTATGCTCATAAGTTTTGTATTACGTAAGTTATAAAATTATTAGAATTCTTATAATGACATTGACGACTCGTACGTAGTAATGGAACAATAAAACATTAATTCGTTTAATTTTTCTGTTCAGTTATGGAAGTGGTCGGCATCGAGTGGCGCTCAACCTTATCTGTTTTATTTCACATTCCATTTCTACTGGGCCACTTGTTGATTCCGTTGATAGCGTATTACACTCGTGGATGGCGTATATTTTTAATGACTGTTTCACTCCCACCTATTCTATTACTTTCTTATTACTGGTGAGAACTCATTTAATTCCAATAAGCCAACTATACGTATACTAAAAACCAATTTCAAAATATGAAATGTATTTGAATCAACAAATTTTTTTTTCGAGTATTTCCGATGTAGGAATTGTCCTGTTTGAGTATATATGATTTCGAAATATTAATGATAACATCATTCCAGAGGCATCACGGCTTTTATCTTTTTATGAATATTATGCCCTGGAAAAATATTATCTGGTACATCAGAAAATTTTGTTCATAGTTCCCATTAAACTTTCTGTTGCATCATCTAACGTTGAACTGATTCCAATAAACACCTTAAATTCAATAGATTTATTTTATCCAATAGGGTGATCCCGGAGTCGCCACGGTGGCTTCTAGCAGTTGGACGCATAAAAAGTGCTCGGAATGTGTTGAAAACAGCTGCAAAGCGAAACTCAATCCACGAAGATAAGGTCATAGCTGCTATCGAATCTCATTCGAATCAACGTGGAAAAGAGGTCGAACTAGATAAAAAGTTTTCGAAAACCTATAATCTACTTGATATATGCCGCACACCGAATATGCGTATTAGAAGTATCTGTATAGCTGTCAATTGGTTCGTATGTGGAATTTGCTTTTTTGGCCTCGCTCAGTATGTCGGACGATTGGAGGGAGATATATTCATCAATGTGGCAGTATCAGGTACGTACAGTATAACACAAATTTCTGTTAGACTAAAACTTCTCCTGCAGAAATTATACTTAGAATAGAAACTCAAAATTTTCTCATAAATAATTTTCAGCTGCCTGTGAACTACCAGGAATTCTCGTCGTTCTCTATTTGATATCGAGGGTTTCTCGACTGAAGATTCTCATCGGTGCTAATGTAACATCTGGCGTTAGTCTACTTCTCCTGATGTTTATTTCCAATAAAACAGCACAAGTTGTTCTTGCAACAATAGGATTGAGTGCTATGTCCATTAGTTTTCCCACTATTTACCTTTACACTGGGGAATTGTTTCCAACAGTAGTAAGGAATATTGGGTTTGGACTATGCAGCGTTTCAGCGAGGATTGGCAGTATTATTGCACCTTTTATTGCAACCATGGTAAATATTGAGCAATTCAACTAAGTATAGAACTACATGCTGAGTCTCATATTCTTAAATTATCCGAAAATTCGTCAGTGGTAGAGACTATTTAAGATACTAACACAATATTTTTTAAATTTTCCAAAATCATAGATTAGCTATCGTAGAAAAGCTAAGTTTTAATTATTTCTAATTATGGAAGACATGCATGAAAAATATTAACCTTTGGAATAAGTGATTAATGAAAGATGTACACGCGAGATATCCCGATATAGTATTTTTAAACGTGGATAATACAAGTCAGGTGGTTACCTTTGGTAACAGCGGGGGACGGGATTGTGGCATGCTCTACAAAAACTTATCATGTATTAACATAGAGCTACAGTATATATATAACGTATTTGAGATATATATAACGTATGTAATTAGAATTGCTACGAACAAGTTTCGATTTAAGAAAGAAAATGTGGGAATAAATTCAGAATTGTCCAAACGCTTGGAAATTATCTTCGTTTGACAAAGCCGTTACCATTTGTATCGGGGATACAAGCATACTGTTGAAATTTATATTCACTCATTCAATGAGTGAATTTTATGATAGGACTCCGGCCGGAGACCGAAACACCACAGGTTGTGAGCATATGACAGGGAGGGCGTGACAGTGAGTAAGTCCTTGAGTGATTTTTCCTATTGTCCATCGGCATCAATGAATTGATGGTAAGCTTCCGAATGGCTAGAGAAGATGCTCAAATCTTTGTATCTTTATATTCATATTGCTTGAGAAACCAATCCTCCAACTTCAAATTTTACATTGACGATGTGTCGAATTGAAAAATTTTGTTGGAAATTCTACAAAATTTCCTACGATGAGGCTCTATTTGGTAATTGTGCCGTATTTTGGTCGTTCATCAGATAATTGTTCACGTAGGGTGAGCTATTGTTTACGGAGCCACACCAAGAAATTTTACGGAGCGCTACGGTAATTTTCTCCGAAATGCCAGACAGCAACACGAGTACCAAACGGAACGATAATTTTTTACTTACGGTTTCTTCCCATGTACCTCATCCTAGGAAATTTTTGAGAATTTTCAACAAATCTTCCAATTCCACACATCGTGAATGTAAAATTTTTAAGTGGAAAGATTGATGTTTCAAGAAATGACAATACAAAGATACAAAGCTTTGAGCGTTTTCTCTAGCGGTTTAGAACTCTACCATCAATTTATGGATAGCAATGAAGGATTTATCAAATCCTTCGATGACATGCTCTTTGTCACGAGTCCGCTGTATGCTCACAACCTCTGTCTGTTCAACCATATATCTTTGCTAATAATTGAGATCGACACCTCCGCATGCACTAATTTTTCTTAATTTGGACTAAATTTATATTGGTAACATATAGACAAAACAGTGTTCAAATTTGGGTGGGATTTCAGTGCGCAACTTTCCCGCGCATTCTCCAGGCTCCCATTAATGTACAGGTGCAAAGCCCACAGTTAAAATTCAAATGCGCATGACACCAACAGGCAATAAGTGTGACAGATTTTTGAGATATCAATAATTAGATCCTAAGATTGGCTTTGTAATTGTTATTAACGATCCCTCTTCCAGGATATTTACAACGAATGCCAAAAAACGATGAAGAGATGAACATCGTTTGCAAAAAAAAAACAAAGGGTATTCATGACAATTAATTTTCCGGTGTGTGGTGCATAACATTTTGTATTCAAGACTCTTTTTGAATTTAATTCTTAACCTATTTAAAAGATTTCTCACACCAACTACTGGAAAAATGAGTCATATTGTCGGTCGAATTCTAATGTTTAAACATAGCCCGATGCAAGCGACGCGCTAAAAGCTGCCGATTACTTGCAGCTCTCTCTTGAGTCCTTGGTAGACTCCCAATGCCCTGCGGTGGGATCGCGCTCTGTAGGCGAGGGTTATACTCTTCCCGATTACGCTCTTTGGGTGAGAGCAAGACTCTCCTCGGACGGTGTTTTCTGGGTGAGAGCTATGGTCTCCCTAGCAATGCTCTCGATATTTGGAGTGTGTGTACATGGATGAGTTAATCCCCGCGATCTCGGCCTTCCGTCACTACATTATTTTATGTTGAGGTAGTGCTCAAGGTGATTTCAATTATATGGGACATCAAGTAGGCTCTCGGTGTCTCCACCCGTTGATCTACGCGTTGTATTATTTCGCGGTCTAGGTTTCGGTTTATTGAAATCGCATATCTGTGGAACCTGGCCCTCTCTCCTAGCATCCTCAGCAACTCCAGGGCTTCCTGCTTCCGTTCCATTCGTCATCGGCTTTAGCCTGTAGCGGGTAATTTTCGTCGGTACTTAGGGTATCGTTTTATTCAAGGACTTTACAGCTTTTTTTCCGACTTGGGGATTTTGTGTCATCCCGAGGACGAGTTCCAACCCCAATCGTACTGTTTCTTCGTGCTCTTGTTTTTGGATATCTTTTGGATTTTACGATTTTCGGTATTGTGAGGTTTACCGACTTCGGGTAAGGCAGGGCACCTCCTTAACCTCGCTCCAGTTCATTCGGTTTTCGTTAGCTTTTGGTCCTCAAAAAGCTAACTGGCGCCCCATCAAATCGGTTGGAATAGTAGGATGCGAGTACGGGAACGCGCGAAGGTAGTAACTATCTTCGATCTTCGGGACGAGATCAGGAAAAGTGTTACAGGATTGATTCAACAACCTAATTTATCTACGAACCTGATACATAAATATGGGCAAGTGGTTCTATGTTTAGAGGAATATCTCATTCTCTTCTTTTTACACTTGTGCAATCAAAAAGTCGGAATATTTCTCCGGTAAAACGAAGTAGAGAGCAATAGAATCAGAAAACCTTTCGTTTGTGGTAATCAATCCATTTTTAAATGAGTAGTTCTCAAGTAGGCTGAAATAAAAAAGATGGAGCTTGAAAAATCTATGTCTTTACCTGAACATTTTAAGGATTTGGTAACTATTTTATCAATTTTCTCAAGCAATTATATTAAAAATGTTTAAATACTTTCTATAGTTTGGCACAGACTAGGCCGTAGGTATTGCTATCCTTATTAGAAAATCGAAAAAAAACGGGTAAAAAATTACCAGTTGTCAATTATCTATCTGATAGAATCCATTTGTTCTAATTAAAGAAAACTTCCCCAAAGGTTCGAAATGAAGAATAAAATACTGAACTCCAAATAATGGTATAATTGACAAAGAAATAGATGAACTCGTGTGCAACTACAAAAGCTGACTCAAATGTTGATGTCAATGAGCATATGTTATATTGTTCACCCTCTCATATTTTTGCCTTTTGTCACTCCTTACAGACATGAAAACTTAAATTCTTAATGTATTTGATTTTTAGGGATATTACGGAGCATCAATCCCCCCATTATGTTTTGGAATCGGTCCCCTCATCGGCGCAGGCTTATGTCTCTTATTACCCGAAACAATGGATTGTAAACTTCCAGAGACGATTGAAGAAGCTGAAAATTTCAGGAAGTAAGATTTAATTAAAAATCATTAGTGATTTTATGCTTTGTAAATGTTTGCCTTCTCCTATCTAATCATAATGACTCATAATTCTAATGTCTGGTCAGAATGCGGAAATTAAAAATGAATGTTTGATAAATTTTCAGGGGAAAAACAGACATTGCTTTAGAGGTAGTAACCTAGAGTTCGACAGTGAATTGAATGAAAATCTCTGACGTTTTTGGATTTTTATAGCAGTGTTCATATTCATTTTACACAACATTGATGTTCATCACGATAGAAATAATTTCTCCGTAAATTATAATACAATCACAAATATTTTTGTTTCGTTTCATTCAGTCAATCACAATTAGCCACTGTTGAATGAAAATGAAAAACTCGCAATTATTTTTGTATCCAAACCTCTGAAGTATCGTTGTGAGGGTAAGTATAATGACGTTTGTAGTCTGAATAATATAAGCATCAGTAAATTAGAATAACTTGAGCATTTATAACATTTTCTTATTAAAACAAAATTGTACATGTTCATCACAAACTTCTAAATTAATATAATTAATATATTAATATATTTGTCTGAATGCTAAAGAATATTCTTCATGAAAAGCAATTACGAACTTTCAACGAAAATAGGCAACTGATTTGAATAACATTGCTGATGAAATAGAAAAAAAATATTATCAAAATTTAGCCTTTGTATGCACCGAGTTTCGGAGACATTATGGCGTGATAATGGGACTACCTGTTATGTCGTTGTGTGATCCAAATAGAGTACCTTGGTAGGTAAAGTACTTATAACATTGTTGGTTCGTTTATGAACGGCATCAAACACTTGGTTTCCATATTTGACAGTACTACTTAGGGAACCCAACCATGTGGAGACGATGCCTTTGGATGGAGTTTTCTCTACTGATGGAGGTTTACCTGGTAATTAAAACAATTGCCATAAATATTTTTGGTTGTGATAAAAAGAATGGTACAAAATTTTTGGTTGAATAATTTTGGAAAGTAAAAAAACGAACGTCGTAAAAACCGCACTTCTTATGGCTGAACAGATGAAAAGTAGGACCGTTTTTCTCTTAAAAAAAAAACATAACGTTTTTTTGTCACCGTTTTGTGCGGCAAAGCTTAGCTATCTCAAACATTAATGTTATATATGATTATACTATACTATATGTATATGTAGAGGTGGTTATGAGGTCGCATTGACAGATATAATGTATCCTTTGATATGGTATGACTTTGATGGATATCGAGGCAAAGTCGATTACGAGGACCGTCCTCACAACCTACACCATTAGTCTAACGGTGACTTTGAAGACACAGGGCGAGCGAAAAACATACGAGGATAATGTCCTTAAAAATTTATCAATCATGCGTACACTTTCAGGACTATGGTGGAAACTTTATTATGGACTTCAAAGGAATCATTTTTTAAAATTAAATTAGCAGATAAAATATTAATCTGAATCTATTCTCTACGAATGAGGTCAATCATTCTCACGAAAAATGGTAAACCTACCGTTGGTGATCATACCAAAACTTTTTTTGAGCATCGTTGGGAAGTCCGACCTTTACTGAAAAAACAATCTAATGAAAGAATCACAGCGTTGAACGTCGCGATTTTTTCGACTTTCTTTTTGCGGAATCCAATGATTTTGAGTATATTCTCATTCAATTATGTCATCTTTAAGTTTATTCACTGACGGAATTTTACACATTAGTAGTTTGAAAGATGTGTTTGTCCATGGGAGGAAATGTTCAGTTAAATATTATCATAAAAGGAAGTATGCAGCAGGTGTACTGGCAGTTTGCAGTAAGTAAAATTTATTACGTTAACTGATGGGAAATGTTCAAACTTTTACTCTATCATCTCGGCAAATTCAATTTTTTTTTTGAGATGATGAAAGCATTTTGCTCAAATTAAAATCGACTGCAGAAGCTATAGCTGAACATATTGAAGAGGACTGGGTGTGCGTCACTACTCATGTGATTAATGGATCTGTCCGCCCTCCACGTACTGTCAATTTCCTCACCTTTGTTTACGATGTTTAATTTTTATTTTGAGCAATATTTCTTACTTCAACATCAAATATTCTATAATTTTTTCTAATAAAAACTTTTCCCTCTCGTATACCCTTTCGGGTCTTTACGATTTGTTCCCACCCCCCAAACCCCCTGCACCGCATTTGCCGAAGGGAGGGAAAAACCTCATTCGAGGGGAAAAACCTGCCCTGGTACAGTCGTCCTTTTGACAGGACTACCGCTGGACAGTGAAACTGTGAGATTAGAGCCCTATAAATTTTGACTGCCGGTGCCCGGGATCGAAGCCGGATCATTAGCATACGAGTCTAGCACTCCAACCGCACGGCCACTACCGTCGGTTAATTTTTTCTAATATTTTTGTCCTTACATAGCATTTTTTTGTTTTCTCCCCCTATTTTTATGGTCCCAAATGAAATTCGTATTAAGGTTGTTGTCGCGAGAGAGTCAGGCTTAAAATTTACTACGCTCCGGGTTGATCTTCCGCTAAGCGGAGAATACGAGTTAGAATATAAACTTTTGCGGGTTTACAGTTCCACTCGACTCACGCACACAAGAATCTACCATGCATGGATACATGTACACACAGCTAACGCTAAATGGTGCCGATCGTGGCAACCGCGCGCAGCGTGTTTCTGTTTTCATGTCTCTCTCTTTCTCAGTCAATCTATTTATTTTCTTTATGAATCGTCCCTTTGATTCGTCATTGACTATTCCAAATCTTCTTCAAGATCTTTTCATTAATCTGCAATCAGGTGCCTAGTTGAATGAAATTTTTTAAAACACTGGTAATGATTTATTTTTTTAACTCTCCAATTCAGCCTTGTCAATAACCAAAATAATTTTAAAAATGTGGAAAATTTTGAGTAGAAATTTTCATTTTTAATTTCAAATTCAAGTTGTGAAAATATTATTATTTATACATTTCAGCTGTATAAACTATAATTATACAGAGGAAGCAATAAATATTAATGTTTACAGGTTCTAATTTTGTTATTTTTTTGCTAAAAATGAACTATTTGTTGTTGTTTTTGTTTAATTATATAGTTAACTACTTCTGTGATTTTTTCCCAAATTATTATCTTTAATGATAAAGCCAATTTTTATTCTTGACTGGGGGGGCTCCGCCCCTGGACCCCGCTTTTTTTATGCCTTCGAATCTACATGCTTATTAGCACAAAAAAAAAAGATGTGAGGGGGGAACTTGGCTAGTTTTTGGCTTTATCTTCAGACTGTTTTGGCGTTACCCAGAATGCACCACGTGGAGGTAAAGTCTGTTTGTTTGAACAAGCCCTCCAAATGAGGTAAATATCGAAAAATGAGCAAGTTTGGATGCAATTGAGGATGAGAGGATGTGTTAGACATTTTAACACTTTTAATTCACTCGAAAATCAAAAAAAAATTCTAATTTGCTTCGCTGCCTGATTAACACGCTTTGAAAAACAAAGGAGAATGAAGAAAAACAATGGCGGCAAGATTTCATTCGAATTTATATAATTCGTGAAAAATCCGCTAGATGATGTAAAGGTTAAAAAAAAGGCTAGAAATTTTCATATAATATGATATTATAGATTTAGATTTATTTAGTAATATATAAAATATAAACCATTTTATGAATTTTTTCATTATTTTTCTCGAACTCGCGAGACAAAATAGTTCGGAAAACAACCGTTAAATCGCGGCGCCAAAGTAATCGGAATTGTGCCTGCACGCATAATGTATCATGGCAATTACACAAATATTCAGATGGAAAATTGATGAGCTCTTCGTGAATTTGCAATCAGGTGCCTAGTTCCATGGAATGATTAAAATCGGTTGCAATGTTTTCTTTCCTTTACTGTCCAATTTTGCTCGTTTAAGTACTTACAACTATCCCACGGGTGTATCCCTTAACTGAGTTAAACATACTGCTTTAATTCCCAATCGACCATAAGATAAGCCAGTGTACCCCTGGGTGGTGAAGAAATTATCATCGAATGGAGGAGGAAAACGAGAGTAATGTTTTTCATAGTTTTCGATAACAAAAACACAATTCATTATTTTCTTAAATTAGTTCAGAACGTGTATGTAAAAGGTTATTGAGGGGACAACCTATTTACAATACGTATATTACGAGGACATTATCTCCACTGAATATATCTTATGGAGACTTTCATGAAAGGATGGATACGGGGACCTGCACTCAATCATTGAAATGGGGAATTCACGAGCCGTTGATTATTCTGCAATCAGTATCTAGATCAATAGTATTATAAAAATTAGTTAAAATGATTTCTTTACTTTATTCTCCAATTTTTAACTTTTAAATATTCAAAACTACCCCACCTCTGTGTATCTCGGCTAAGTTACTTGGATTGGTTTGATTCTGAATCAAGGTGATGAAAAAATCATTATGGAATATAAACACATTATTTTCACCGAATTGTGGGAACTTTCATGAAACGTTGGATACGGGAAATCTGCACTCATAATGCATCGCTCTGACTGCACAAACATTAAGATAGAGAATTTGCCATCTCTTTTTTAATCTGCGGCTGTCGGTTGTCTTGTTCAGAATTATTTAAGTTAGTTGAAATGATTCGTTTCTTCTACTCTCCAACCTTCGACATTTAAATACCCAAAACTATTCCAACGCTGTATTTCTCGGCTAAGTTGAACGTATTGATTTGATTCCGAATCGTAGGTATACATTAGGGAGAGTACTAGGGGTATGGGCGATGGAAAAATTATTATGGAATAAAAGAATTACACGTTTGTAATGCACCTCGTTCTCCATTAAAAAAACAATTAATTATTTGCTTGGATTAGGACAAAATGCAGGTACACAAGGGTTGTTATGGGATAGACCATTTATGGTACGTATGTTAGAAAGACATTATCTTCACCAAATGTTCGTTATGAAGACTTCCATGAATCGGTGAATGCGGGGAGCGGTACTCACAATGAATCGTTGCAACTGTACAAAAATCGAATCAACGATTAGTGCAATCTTTCAGTGATTGCCAGATATGACAGAATTTTTTTAAAACAGACGATTTTAAACTTTTGTATCCCTAAACAATTGACCGGGCACCATTATGCTTCTTCATGCTCTTATGAATTGAAATATTACAATGATAATCCATATCCTTCGACCTCCTCAATCACCGTCCTTGCCATCAAAGTATACAAATAATAAATAGACATTAGAAATTATGA